GAAAGCGTCAAGGGAGACAAAGGACGCGTTGTTAGCGAAACTTTGGTAAGTACAATAGTTTTTCTATGGCTATATCACGAACAAGCTTACTTTTTTATGTTGCACAAAAATTGTGCATATAGTAGAATTTTGAATGTTAGATACTATGTTAGGTAAGTATCTACAAGACTTATGTAATTGTAGAACTTTATTCTGCAAAAGGTATGTATCGATGTTAAGTCAAGATCAAACTAAGAGAAATGAAAGGTTAAACTTTAACGAAAAGTTAATCTCATGATAAAATGCTCAATAATGCCCAAATTCATAAGATTTAACTAAAGTTACCGTTTCAATGAGAAAATTGATAAACGGTAAGAGACTAAAAGTCCTGTTTGTACCAGCCTTCGAAGGAAAGGTTATTATGAGACTATGAAAGATAAGAGAACCGTGACTGAGTTGGATTGGTTAGCTATCCCACTCCTCACTGGTTATGCGCGCTATGGTACAACAAGACAGGGCCCCTACTAAAGTTACCGTTTCAATGAGAAAATTGATAAACGGTAAGAGACTAAAAGTCCTGTTTGTACCAACCTTCGAAGGAAAGGTTATTATGAGACTATGAAAGATAAGAGAACCGTGACTGAGTTGGATTGGTTAGCTATCCCACTCCTCACTGGTTATGCGCGCTATGGTACAACAAGACAGGGCCCCTAAGAAGTAAAAGACAAGAAAATGAAACACGGAAACCATTCCATATAACGGTATGGTATCCGTAAACAAGAATGATATGAATGAGAAACACAGAATGAAAGTCATTTAGAATTCTGTACTAGGCTATATGATATGAATGCATATATGGGTATGCATAATTATTGCATCTGTTATGACCTATTGATACTTGCTGAGCGAAAGCTCATTAAGTTTGTTCGTGTTGTAGGAAGCACGGGTAAGGCACCAGCTCCCTGAAACTTGTTGCTGGGCATGCAGAGAGGATGTAGCAGTGGAATGTGGACAAGTGGGTCATGGATGTATCACGTGTTTTGGCAACGCCGCTGAACTTTATATGTAAAATAAAATAGTGTTTTATGTATTTTGATGACTAATGTAACAAAATGCTGTCAGCATGCTACATTATTTTAGGAATGGCTGAAAACAGAATGATAGCTAAATGCTACAGCATTTTAACGTACATGGAAAAAAAAATGGCCTGAAATTTTTAGAAGTTATAACTAGTAAATGGTAGAGATTAAGAAATGTTAAGTATAAGCATAGGACGACAATCAAAAGTTAGGTTCGTCACAATTTCAGGGAAAGATCCAAAGAGTATGATCCCCTCGGTTTACGTAAAAGAAATTTAGAGTACCAATTTGAACAACTTTTTTTTTTTTGGGATTTACATTGAAAAAAGGATTTACATTTTAGGAATGGCTTTTTTTCCAAATTAAGAAGAAAGTGAAACCCTTAAAAAATGTAAAAGAAAAAAAACAGATGAAAAAAGGATTTACATTGAACGATTTTTTTTGTCTCAGTACTACTACCATGAAAAAAAAAAAAGGATCCTTACTCCACAGTACATTGTTTCAAAAGTCAACTGTTTAGTCACGTGTTAGAACGTTTTTCTCGTGGCCTTCTAGTCTTCATAACATTTCACACTCACTTCACGGTACAATTCACATGACCCTCTAAATCCATCTCTCATATCTATATTGATATTTTGATGAGATATCAAAACCTATGCCCACTTTGCCCATTTTCAAGTCTACGTACAACCAATCAAAGATTTTCATGACATTTTAAGTATGAGAACACATCACAGACCTTTGTACAAAATCCCTCATACCTACCCAAATCTTATCCCGAAAGAAGCACTAAATTCCAAATAAGTTAGATGATAATAACTAAATTCCAAATAAGGTAGATGATACTATTTGTATAAATAGAGGTAAGCCCACCCAAGTAAACTCACACTTCTCAATATCCAAATCCATATTCTCCTTCTCTCTACATTTTCATTCCGAAAGTGCAAACGATGGTGAGGTTCTAGTTGAGCCTTCTTCTTTCACTTTAATGATTTTTCATTTGTATTTTTCATGTTTGGAAAAGAGAAATATTATGTATTTTTTGAACGAATTTAGTTTGTTATTTTTTGAAAACTGAAATTATAGTTTAAACTACTCTTATTACCACGATCGATTTTCCAACCATGAACGAATTTAGTTTGTTATTTTTTGAAAATTGAAATTATAGTTTGAGTTTTAAGAACATTTGTTGATTAATATTATGTATATATGACAGACGTTAGGAGATTCCATATATTAATATATACGTGTGCGGTTGATTAATATAATTGTGATTGTGTCTTCAAAAATATTTTGCAGTCGCTAGAAAAATTTGGACCATATGGAGGGCCTGGTGGTGTAGCTTGGGACGATGGCAAAACGCACACTGGAGTTTCCAAAATCTCCCTTTCATATAAGCCGGGTGAAGGCATTGGAAGTTTTACTGCATTCTATAAGGAGGATCCCACTACGGGAATCCCACATCCAACTGGTGACGATACCTATATAAGAGTGAATGTTAGTTTTTTTTCATTTCTTTATTTCTTTATTACTTTTCTTTGAAACCCAAATTTTAAAGGTATAATAATGAATATAACTTTCTTTTTTACTAATCTGTCCTGGGAAAGGCTCTACTATCAGAAAATAATGATAAGAATGGATATAACTTTCATCTTTCGTTTACTATTCTTTGAAATCCAGATTAAACTAGAAGAAGGGGAGGTCATAACGAAAGTGAGTGGCTACATTGGTGTTGTGCCCGGTGCCGACACAAAGACTGAAGTCATACGCTCGCTCACATTTACCACCAACGAGAATGAATATACATATGGGACTGCACAAGGAAGAGCTTTCAGTAGCCGACCAATCCTAACTAATTCCCTCATTGCTGGATTTGTCGGAAGAACCAGTACTGATTTTCTGAGTGCCATTGGAATTTACGTATCATCTTAAAATAAAACATGACGTCTCTAGATGTCTTGGCTTTCGGTTGTTTAATATATAATAAATAAATTCAAATCACCAAGAGTATAATGGTAGTATTTGTTGGTGTTTACTGACTAGTATTACCATGATATACGCAAGGAATGGTTTGAGCATGCTTAAAATAAGCTCTCTATAGAGCGAGCTCTCTTCGTAGAGCTTCTTCTTGTGTGTATAATATATGATGTATTCAGTGTGATGT